CCTGCTGAAAACTGAAGTCATGTGCCAAGAGTTCTTAGGACTAAGAATTGGAGTAAATGTCGCAGCCATGAAAGACAAATGCAAACACACAATTTTGTAACGATAACTACATGCAGCAAATTCAATCTCTTTGCAATGCATCAGTAATGAATAATTAACCTTAGTCTAGTCCTCATGTATAAAAACCTTTTTTATGGTTTGCCTTTTTCCCTGTGCTTCAAGAACAGTAAAACTAGCAAAATCCTAAGCAAAAAGAGAAAAAATACCTCCTCACCTTTAAAAGACATTACTGTGGTTTTTGTCCAATTATCTACTTTAACAAGCATCTATTCAAATACAAAGCACAATGTACACATTAACTGCATCCTCACATTCACATATTCAAGTATTTTTCATTTGCTGAGTTACCTTGTCTGCATCCACTTTTCCTCTGATAAATTCTTTCTTCCAAAATTCCAGTGCCTGTTCCAGAGTCAAGCCAATGCCTTTTAAGAACAGACCGTACTGCATACGGCCTCCGTGCCGGAGATGATGGTTATCACGCAGGGCCTTGTGCAACTGGCGCATGCAAAGAGGGAAGGATTTCACAGACAGCTGTCAAGAGAAAAAATTGTAGGATATATGCTTATTATTTGTTCCACTTGAAAATACCAATGGCTGGAAGAAAAGATATGCATGTGCAGAAAGCCAGCAGACTGCTGGTAACACAAGTGTAAGCCATCAAATCCAATTACCATCTCAAGAACAAATCCAAAGTAATACAGGTGGTAGCATCAGCTATGAAGTAACAACGTTTACATTAGAAACAAAGAAACATTATAGCAAAACATTACAATGCTTCTTGCTTCCTCCTTACTTTAGCTTCTGGAATAGCAAGATGACCTGTGAGTTTGGAGGGTTGGGAGAGGAAATGGGTCTTTTTAAAACCTTTTTGAAAAACTACAAGAAATCCATTGCAACTGATCTTCAGGGTTGTTTTTTTTTCCCACAGAATACTATTTCTTATAAAGCAAGATCTCAGAGATAAAAAAAATTAACATTCAATTTTACTTGGGCTTTACATTTTTATTTTTAATGTATGAGTCATTCCATGGAACTCTCCAGCAAAAAACATTGTCATGGTTAAGATGGACATTGAAAACACAAACTATTTATAAACTTCACATAAGAGACTTGTAACATGTTTTTAATTGTGTCTGCACCATTTATGTGGTTTTACAATTTATTCACTTCCTTGTTTTGTAAAACTTTTAAGTCTAAAATCAAAAAAAGAGCATTGAAAAGACTGATACTGCAATGCAATAATCATAAACAAAACATAATGGGTTTCAAAACTATTAAATAAGAAAATTTTGCTAAACTCTGTTCATAATTATATAAGGTATTTAAAAAAGCACACAAAATTAAGCCACAATTAAGCTCCAGTGTAAATCATGATTCATAGCATTTTCACTTAATCCTGCTTAATTTTAAACTTTATCACTGCTTCAGTCAAGTAGTTCTTAAGATCTACAAAGCAAATATGAATTAAAAAAAAGATAAAAGCTTTGTATATTATCTGTACACAAAAGTACTTAAATTGGAAAAACTACATATCAACATACAATATAACTCAATAAACACAGAAGACTTACAGAATCTATCTGTTCTAGAGAAATTTTTCCAGTGTTCTTTTGCACGCTGTAATCTGGGCCAACATATGAATGGCTAAAAACAAAGCAAACAGCAGAGTATCATTTAACACTGTTCAAAAAAAATGTTTGAAAACTTGAAAAGAAACTATTTTACCAATTAAGGGCTGCAAATATTTTCTATCAGGCAAAAACAAGAAAACAGTATTTGACATTTATGTAAGTAATTAAGATTTATAAAAGCAACATTAGACTCTACACAGTAAAGAAACTCTCCCTCCATCTGAAAAGAGTGGTGAGGGGTCATTCAGAATTCAGATCACAGGATCACACTACCACTGAGGTTTTAAGAGACTTATGAAATCATCTAGTTCAACACCCTGCTCAAAACAGAGTTAACTAGAGCAGGTTACATTAGCATCTCATCAAGCTGGGTTTTGAGCATCTCCAAGGACAGAGACTCCATAACCTTCTGAGCAATACGTTCAAGTGTTTGATCTTCCTAGCAGTAAAAATCGCTTTGTTATGTTTAAGTGGACCTGCCTGTGTATTAGTTTCTGCCCACCACCTGGCCTATCTCTGGATACCACTGAGAAAAGTTTTAGTCTGTCTTCTTTACTCCCCCTTATCAGACACCTTTTTATATGCACTGGTAAGATTCACACACATGCACTCCCTCCTGAAATTTATCTCTGCTGTGCTGAACAACCTCAGCTCTCTCATCCTCCCCTCATATTTACTGGGGAGCTAGAACTGGACACAGAGTTCCAGATGTACCCTCATTAGTGCTGGGAAGAGAGGAAGTATCACCTCCCTCAACTTGCTGGGAATACTTCCTACTGCCACCCAAGATACTGTTAGCTTTCTCTGCTTCAAGGCTACACTGGTGCCTCACAGTCAGCTTATTGACCACCAAGACCTCAGGGTCCTCTTCTGCAACCCTGTTTCACAGTCATTCAGCCCTATAGTGGTACATGTGGTTATTCCTCTCCAGATGCAGATCTTGTTATTTCCCCTTCTTGAAATTCATAGTGTTCCTGTCAGCACAACCAAACTTAAGAGCTGACATTACAGGAGGCAACAAACCAAACAGGGACTTTGGATGCAGCATATTTGTCCAAAAATCAGACTTCAAAATCTGGGTAAGAAAAAATTTATCTGTGCAAAAGGGATTTTGCAACTAACTTACAAAGATAATTTCTTAAATCTTTCAAAGGAATATAAAGGTTAAATCCAGAAAGAAAATGGATTTAGCTAAATGATTATACTAGGTGCTACAGATCATTATTTTGAGACATTTCAATACTGTAAAGTGTGAAAACCATATAGCTAAGAGTTGATTTTACTATATTACAAATAGGTTGTTTAATTATACATGTATTCATTCATTCTTTAGTCTTATTTCTGGTACACAATGAAACACTAGGCAAGCTTAGTAGATATTTTTTCATTACACAATGGTTAAATAATTAAAAGTGTTTGAGCCGTGTGTCTATTACTACTGATTCTACTAAAGAAGTATCTAAATTTCCTTGCAGAACCAGATCTACACCACTCTAATTAGGCAAACTACAAACAAAATACGATCAAAACATATAACAACAGAAAATAGCTCTTGTTGAGGCAACTTTTTTTTTTTTTTTTAAGCCAATGAATTAGAAAAATGACCATTCAGTCACTAATTACATCCTGCCTGGTAACTTCTTAAGCTGCTCTAAAATAACCAGTTTAGATCATTTGCTTGCATCCTATGTGGCCTTTGGCAGCTACGCTGTTGGATTCTTGTCCCAAGGAGCTCAAGGACTAAAGCTTTTGAGTTCGCAATTTTAGGTGACAGGTCTTTTTTTTCCCCTAATGTTTGATCTAAACCTCCCAAGCTGCTATATGTGACCACTGTAATTTGTTACACCCTCTGGTGCCAGCAAAAATTCCAATGTTGTGAAGTTTGTCCTTCAAACAGTTGCAGGCTGCTATCTGATCAACCCTAAGCCTCCTCCTCTCCAGACTAAACAAAGTCAGCTCAGCTTCTCCTCATAATTAATGTACAGGCACAATCCTGTAGTATTTTGATGGGACACATACAACAGTTTTTGTATGTGTTCAAAAACACAGCTTTAATTACTGATATTTAATATTTGGGTAAAATTCTACCCTTAGAGATATTACTTGCTATAATAAAATTTTATAAAAGCTACAAATATTTTCTTGTTACTAAGAAGCAACACCAGCTCTGTAAATTATGTTTCACTTCATTTTAAAACCTTTTTTTAAGTTGAAAGGACAGTTTCAAGGGTTTTTTTCCAGTTGAAGCCAAACACACAGATGAGGTGTCTGAGAAAAAAGATCTAGGTAAAACTTTCTACTAATTCAATTATTTTAATCTGTATGAAATGATACACTCATGCTTTCAGTTTATGCTACCTGAGATGATTTAGCAGAGGCTGTAGTCGCTCGTCAGACTGTATGGAAGGCAGCGATCGTGCTGTTAACTAGGAGAGAACAGAAGTTCAAATACAAAAAATTAACTCAAAAAATATTGATAGCACAAAGCAGG